TTATACACCCGGACGGAGGGAGTAACAAAGATCCATCAGGCGACTCAAAAGACAAGGAGAAGACGGACGGCAACAAACGTAAGCCTCCCTCATCATCATCCTCGCATTCCACACCTGACCAGCAATCCATCATTCTCATTTCAGTTGCACCACATCGACCATGCCTTGGTCCGTGCGCGCCCACGCGTGGAACGGAATTTCAGCACGCACGCATTGACGGTGAGTGGAACGGACAAGTCGTTTTCGACGAACAAAAACAGAAAAAAGGCACATCACCTGCATGCATGCATGCATTTTCGGCTGTCTTGTGAGTTGTGTCTACCACCTCACCCTCTGTGCTTCTGCTCCTTTCCAGAAAACCGACTCCGTTTCCAACCAAGGCCTCTTTTGGTTCGGAGGAATGTCATAAGATTTCTATAGGATATAATTTGCATAGGAAAATTTCCTTTAAGAACCTTTGGTTTGTAGGAATGGATTTCTATTCCTATGTAGGATAGGAATCAATCCTTCATATTTTGAAGGAAAAAAAACATTAGCTAAGACTCAATGAAAAAATTCCTATCATATGCATCAAATGATATCTTTTTCTCTATAGGAATTGAGATGCATGTCATCCTACTTCCTATGATTTTCCTATTCCTACAACATTTTTATCCTATGAACCAAAGGAGACCCAAACTTGCGCCGCACAGCTATCGACCACGAGGGAGGAGAAAGTTGTGCGATCCCGAAGAAGAAACTGGACAACTTGGATGCCAAGGAAGCAAGCAGAGTACGCCCACTTTCAGTTCCCCCGATCGCTTTTCCGTGCTCCATCTGAAACGAATAATCCACAGGGAAAAAAGAATACTAACTAAAATCAGTACAGTGGGTGATTCAGATGCAAAATGCTCTCTAATTGATTTAATTACCAGAGAATCAATCAATTGATGCCTCAGTCAGAATATACATATATACAGCACAAACCAGAACATAGTCCACATGTTGCCTAGAGGTGTGATTATGCTACTCCCTTTTTCTAACCAACATCTCTCACGCTGCTAAGTGTGATCTTATTCCTTCCTTCACAACCTCTACCTTTGAGAGCAAGAAACATCACCCACCCTCCACTCCAATCCACCGCCTATAAAAAAGACCCACTGATCACTTCATTCGACACAAACACCCACACCCGTTAGGTCACCCCTGTTCCACATCAGGAACAGGGATCAAAACAGAGTCCAAGAGAGCTTCAGGACCCATGGCGCCGTCCTATGACAAGACCATCGCGACGGCGGCCTCCCTCGCGGCGTCCCTCATGTTGGTCCGCAGCCTGGCGAGCGAGCTGCTGCCGTCCGAGGCGCGGGACGCGCTCTCCTCGGCCCTCAACAGCCTCCGCTCGCGCATGACATGGCAGCACACCATCGTGATAGAGGAGACCGAGGGGTGGTCCGGCAACCGCGTCTATGGCGCCGTCAAGGCGTACCTGGCCACGCGAACCAGCGCCACCCTCTCCATGCAGCGCCTCCGCGTCAGCAGCTCCGACGAGGAGGGCCCCGACAGCAAGATGGTGGTCAGCATGGAGGCCGGCGAGGAGATGGCGGGTGTGTACGAAGGCACCGAGTTCAGGTGGTACCTGGTGACCAGGGAGGTCAAGGGCGACCCGAACAACGGCAACGGCGGGGCGCGGGAGGTCCGGTCCTATGAGGTGAGCTTCCACAAGCGCCACAAGGAGAAGGCGCTGAAAGAGTACCTGCCCTTCATCGTTGCCGCCGCCAAGGCCATCAGGGACCAGGAGCGGAGCCTCAACATCTACATGAACGAGTACGGCGACGAGTGGAACCCCATCGACCTCCAGCACCCCTCCACCTTCGACACGCTCGCCATGGACATGAAGCAGAAGCGGGCCATTGTTGATGACCTCGACAGGTTCATCAAGAGGAAGGACTACTACAGGAGGATCGGCAAGGCGTGGAAGCGTGGGTACCTGCTGTACGGCCCGCCGGGCACCGGCAAGTCCAGCCTAATCGCCGCCATCGCCAACCACCTCAGGTTCGACATCTACGACCTCGAGCTCACCGGGGTTGACTCTAACTCAGACCTCAGGAGGCTCCTCGTCGGGATGACCAACCGGTCCATTCTCGTGGTGGAGGACATCGACTGCACCATCGAACTCAAGCAGCGGGAGGAAGCCGACGAGGAACCTGCCACCAAGTCCAGTCCTACAGAGAAGAAGAAGGCAGAAGACAAGGTAACTTTGCATTTTTGCAGAATGAATACCTTACGTCTATGCACAAACCTCTCTGCTTCTCCATTTTGACAGCTTTCTTTCTTACCTATGCTGATGGCAAATTAATTTGGTTGCTGTCTGCATAACAGGTCACATTGTCTGGGCTGCTCAATTTTGTTGATGGCTTGTGGTCGACAACTGGGGAGGAAAGGATCATCATCTTCACCACCAACTACAAGGAGCGTCTCGACCCAGCACTCCTGCGGCCTGGCAGGATGGACATGCACATCCACATGGGGTACTGCACCACGGAGGCCTTCCGAATCCTTGCCAACAACTACCATTCCATCAACTACCATGCCACCTACCCAGAGATTGAGGCGCTGATCCAGGAGGTGACGGTGACGCCTGCAGAGGTCGCCGAGGTTCTGATGAGGAACGACGACACTGATGTTGCCCTCCATGATCTTGTCGATCTTCTGAAGTTAAAGAAGAAAGAGGCCACTGAGATCAAGTCTGAAAGTGTACGGGCGGGGGAGAAGAAAGATGACAAAGGGGTGGTGCTGAAGAATGAGTTCGCAGAAAACGGAAGCAGCTAGGAGTGCGGAAACTGACGGTGACCAGCGACTACGCGTGTATCATGTAGATAGGTCGTACTGGAGATCCATTGGAACATATGTTGATCATTTTAACAGCTAATAACATTACATTTGTTGTAGTGGTTCGGCGCACTTGTCTTTAACTTGACACAATGTGCTTCTAAATAATTATGGAAGTGGTGTTGCAACAAGTTACATAGATGCAAACTTGACATCTTGCATAAGATATTGGCAAGATGATGCTAGCTACTGACAAGGAATGATGGACACTCTACTTAATTAGCCAGGTAGATAAAGTAGTATGAGTAGTAATCTCATCACTCCTCCCCCAAAAGGAGACGCGTAGCCAGCCACCAGAGTCACGAAGCATATAGCTGCGACGGCGTACGTCGACCGGTCTTTGGTCAGAGCAGGCCATGTGTGGAATTCCAGCATGCAGGCGGAGTTGAATGACGGTGGAATGAAGTTTGACAAACTAAAGGTGCGCATAATGTACACCGCATACACGCACCGACTCACCCCAGCACAAGTATAGGCTAGAGAAAGAGTAGGCTTGCAAGGAGGACGTACGCACCTACATTATTTTCTTCTTCTGCTGCTGCTGCTCTGTCGAGAAGCTAATTGAGCAAGCAAGAAACTTGGATGCCAAGGGAGCAAAGTAGCTTTCCATTCCACGGGCGCTTTACAAATCTGGCGAAACGAGAACCCCAGCCAGCAAAAGAAAAAGGAAAGAACCAATGAATGACTAGCTCAAAACATTGTCATTCACAAGAACATAGTACAGGTGAGTGCTTGATAATTTAGCCAAGAAACAATCAATCGAATGCTCTGCCAGGAGGGTAAATTATCATATCGAGATTCCAGAGGAATTAATGAAATAATTAATCACTACATCTGTGTACTCATATACGATGTTACCTTTTGGTAAGGAAGACCTCTTCTTCATGTGGTGGTTTGAAGTTTGAACAACATGCCTGGTCTATGTATGTAATACTATTATTCAGACATCTTCCTTTCATCAGCCAGTCAACCAAGCACCCAGACCCAGTGCGCAGCACGAATTTGGCCATCTACCTGAAAAGAGTCGTCAGAATTCTTTTCATACAAAAAATTAGCAAAAATACCACAGATTCAGAGAAAAATACCACAGTAATATTCAGTAGGTGATTCAGATGCAAAATGCTCGTTAATTATCAAAGAACCAATATATTTTGATGGCTCAGAATATATATACTAGTACAACCGTAACATCACATGTTACTAATAAGTGCCACTTACAGGCTGCATCAAACAATCTACCTTTCTAGGGGGGGATTAATTAATTGATGTGGAAGGAAGCCAGTCCAGATTTGCTTGGTGATGTTGATGCTACTAACTTTTTCTAACAAAGACCTCTTCTTCTCTGTTAGGTGTGATTTGCCAAGTCCATTTCTTACTCCCTTTACTAAGATAAGAGGAAGAAACACCTCAATCTGTCAATCCCACCCACCCCACTCCAATCCATCTCACCTATAAAAAC